GCGCGCCGTTCCGCAGCGCCGGGGCTCCATCCGGATTCGGATGCGGATGCGGATCCGCCGGGTTCCCGGCGCTCCGCAGAGCTCCTCCTGCCCCTCGCGGCGGTGCTCGCGGGCAGGCGGTGGCGGCACGGCACACCGTGGGGCCGCTCGCTCCCTTTGTGCCCGCTCCAGCTCCGCATTCCTTCAAATATTGACACAGCTGCCGGGCTCGGGCGCTGCGTCCCGGCACGTGCCCCCCGTGCAGCTCCCGGGAAAGGCGGGATCCGGGCCCTCCGCCGGATCCTCCCGACCCGCAGCTGCCCGCTCCGCGCTGGGATAAGGGAACAAACAGGGGCTCCCGTGGGGCAGCCGCTGCCGGGGGCCGGGCAGCAAGGCCGAAGATCTGTCTCGAAGCCGGTGTCTTTCCGTATAAACTTCCTTTTGCTCCATAGCAGGAATCATGGATAGTGGTGTTCATGTCCTAGCGCAGCCTACAGAACTGCAAAGGCCACAGTGCCACCGGAGCTCCTCCCGGAGGGATCTGCGCCCTGGCTGGAGCCCCGCAGYGCTGCAGAGCTGAAGCTCCACAGCCTCCTGAGGGATGCAGGATTATATTTGCTCTGCTCTCTTTCTTTTTGYGTTATCTCCAATAAAGGGTATTTAAATTAATATCTTATGAAGTCTGAGCGTCTTTCTTATTGGGATCCATTACAATCACTGGCAGCAGGACCCCAGTAAAAAAGGCCTTTCTAGATAGAGAGTTGTGAGGAAAAGACAGAAGAGGTGCCCAGCTGGCCCCAGGCACGGGCGTGTGGAACAGTGATGGAGCGTCTGGCCTGGGGGAACTTCCTAGTGAGTTGGGAAAATGGAAGTATTTATCTGGATATCCCATCCCAGCTGATGTACTGGCCTGCCCCCCAAAACATGGGCTGGGAAAATAAGAACTTGGCAAGATTAGCATTGTGCTTAGTTGCTACCRACATGCTTGGAATGAGTGTGAGAAGGCTTGGGCCCGTGGGAGAGCTAAAATCCTGGGAAAGGAGCGCGCTGCTCACCRTGCCGCCGAGCGGCAGCCGCAGGGTGAGGGCTGGCACCCGGGGGCCCCGAATGGTGAACAGAGCCCGGGCGGCCCCCTCACCGCCCCGGGGGAACCTCAGTACAGCATCTTGGTGTGGGGTTGCACCCTGACAGCTGCACACCGCGGAAAAATCAAACCAACCGACCGCCACGGGGATGAGAGTGAGTTTGGGAAACAGAGTAGGGTGAAAACTCCAGAGCTGTTAAGGTGAGGGAGCTTCCTCCAGGAGCATATATGTGTCACCGTGCAGCTTTATAGCACTGACAACCATTACCTTTTGTGGCAAGGTGGATGGGTGGGTCAGCTGAGATGACAACTGTGTCATTCTTCCTGTAATGGTCCTTCTGTGCCCTGCATTCATATCCATGGGCTTTGTTCGGCATTGCTGGTGGAAGCAGTGTGAGCTGAAAACCAAACCGACACATGAGGAATGAGGAGTCTGTCCTTGCTCCTGTCCCCTGCCCCCATCAGCTGAGCAAGGCCCTCCAGCTGCTGGCGGGGCCACCAGACGTGCAGGAGCTCCCACACGGATAGGAGGGGTGGGACGTGGGATCACTACGTGGGACATGGCACAGCAGTGGCCCTGATTTCACCACTCTCTGGAAAACTCTTCGTGCAGAGATACCTCCTTCCTGACCCTGCCTTGCAGCGGTTCCTGCCCTTACATTGAGCCTTGTTTCTCTTGCAAGGTAGACCAGGATGTTCCTAGGCTTGCAGTTAGGCCAGCGCAAACACACTCCTCCACCTAGGTCATCTTGGCCATTCCTAAAAATTTCTCTCCAAAGTCCAGGTGGGGGAGGAGGAAAACAGGGAGCACTCTCAGACAAGGGAGGGAGTCTGGTGAAACCGCTCTTTGTACCAGTGGCCAGAGTCATTCCTCAGCTCCCCCAGTGCTAATATTTGCACATCTACTATGAAGATAAACATTACAGATGTATTTGCTGCACGGAGGCACAGCACAAAACATGCTCCCTGCTGACAGAGAGCACTTTTGTGCTGTGTGGCAGCAGGGACTGTGCTCACCTTGCCCTGAGATCTGCTGTTTCCTCACAGTGAGAAAACAGCCTTGCCTCCATGTTCCTGGAAGCCCTTGTTTTCCTGGCTGTTGGGGGTTTGCAAGTTCCCTGCTTGGCAGAGCTTGTTTCCCCTTTTGGTTTCATTTTAGCGTGTTCCCTGGTGTGGGAATCAAAGCAGGAGCCCAAACTTCACTCTGCCTCACCTTCCTCCTGGGAATCCTATGCAGTGGGAAGCATGCATGGAGAAGAGCCTTGGCCACCTCACTGTGGGGAAGGTTTCCATTCTCGGAGGGCTGTGGCAGGCACTGCTCCTCCTCGGCATGGCTAAGGGGGAGAAAGCAGAGGCCGGCTGGATCCTCCAGGCTATTCCAGTGCCCAAACAGCTGTGGCTGAGCTTGCTGATAAAAGACAAGCACACTCTGAAGGGGAAGGGTGTGCTTGCAGCTTAAAAGAGTCCTGGGATTGGCTAAGCTCTCCTGTCTTGCTAAGCAGGAGGCTGCTAGAGTCCAGCCTCTGAGGAGACTGAGCCGCAGGGAAGCGCTGCCAGGGAGGCAGTGATCCTGCCAAGAGCCGCGGGATGAGCGGAGCGAGCGGCTCTGACGGGGTCACTGTGAGCTGGCAGACACCTCTATTACCCAAATTCTCCCTGGGCCCTGGGACAGGCTCTTGCTCCAGCTGCCCCTTTCCCTTCTATGAAATAGGATACTACCTCTAGTCCCAGGRCAAGGAGGGACTCCAGAGGGTGTTTTTGTGTTACGGTGTAGCTTCTGAAAATGAAGATGCGCTGGCGGAAAGAAGCCAAGAGAGGAGGGTAAGAGGAGCCTCAGCACCACTGTCCCTGACACACCACGACCTCTGGAGTCCTGTTTCTTCATTCTGGTTCAATATTAACCCAGCAGGGCTGTGACTACACTTATTCTGTTCCTGCCGCGGTGCCCCTGCAGCCGGGGCTGGGCAGCATGGCGCACAGCAAGGCCAGCTTACTGAGGGGCCTGCTCTTCTCCAGCCTGCTGCACCTCACGCTGAGCCACGATGGAGGTAGGATTCCAGACCCAGGGAGAAGGGCAATGGCAGTAGGTGCTGGAAGGAAGGAAAAGAGGGTTATTTCTCCTCAAGGGTAAAGCCTGTGYGGGATTCACCAGCTCAAAAAGGGGGTTTCTAGAAGCTTGAAGTTGGGAGGTAGAGGGTGCACAGCGGCACAGAGCTCGCCTGAGGCGGGGGTGCCGTGGCCTCCAGCTGATGGCAGGAAAGCCCAGCAAATTTTGTGGTCCCRTGGGGGACAGGGACAAGCCTCGGGCCAGTATCCTGTGTGGCACAACTGAGGGCCTTCTTGGGCGACAGTCAGCTTGGGTGGCTGCAGTTCTCCCATTCCTCCTCTGCCTACCCGCATCTCCACTTTTGTTCATCATCAATATGCAGCTTTCCTGTGCTCACTGCTCCTTACCTTCCACCGCATCCTCCACTTCACCTTTCGTTTCTTAATCTAAGCCCATCACTKTGTTTGGGAGGACCAGCTTAGAGGCCTGAGAGCAGGGAACAGGGAGACAGAACCAAACTGTGCCTGTCAGAGCAGTTTGAGGCCGGCGAGACAGACGGCAGCAGTTGGCAGAGGGTGAGAGCAGGAGCGAGCTCAGGCAGGCATGCCCCTCTCTAGCTGCAAGCGAGCAGAGCTGCTCCGCCAGGGAGAGCGGGGGGTTCCCTGGTCTGGGGCTTGCGGGAAGGCAGCGCTCGCAGGAAGCCTGCGCCGAGCATCRGGGTGGGCTGACTGGGCTCCTCTGCTGCGTGGTGGAATGGGGACTGGGACCCTCACAGCAGCTGAGCGGGGTATTTGGAAACTGCAAGGAGAGGCGGAGGAGTCCTGTCCTGTGAGCATCCCTTTGACCGGCACCGTTCTGACTTGCTAGTTTTCCTGGGCAAGGGGCAGGCCCTGTCGCTGCTCAAGCGCCCCCGCCGTGCCAAYAAGGGATTCCTGGAAGAGATGCTCAAAGGCAACCTGGAGCGAGAGTGCCTGGAGGAGACATGCAGTTACGAGGAGGCTTTTGAAGCTCTTGAATCCACTGAACACACGGTAGGTACAGGGCACACGGGTGCTCTTAAGAAACAGTCTCTTAAGCAGCTCCTGCAGCTTGACCAACATATCACATTCACAGCCCAGGCCGGGCGGTTGTAAGACACAGCCCTGGGGTACAAAGATGAGGCTGATGTGTGTGTGCCCCAGGGAGAACTCTGACTTCCCTAGGGAATTTCTCTCCCAGGGAGAGGAGCCACTGCAGGGCATGCCCCTCAAAGCTTGGATTCTTTGCCCTCCCTCTTTATTTTAAGCACAAAGTCAAAAGGAAAGGGCCCTCCCTCAGCCATCAGTCAAGAACTGTGCCTTCCACTTGAGCGTGCTGGCCCATGTCTTTAAGTGCCCTCAGCAGCCCCAGGACACTCACAGAGCTGCTGGCTTCACACACACACACTGCATGCAAGTGTGTGTGGAGATCAAGCCTTGGCTTGTGGCTTTGACTTGCGCACTGCAAAATTTGTTTGCAACTTTTTGGAAAATGCTCCTAGCCCCAAGACCAGTATTAGCACTCAATTCCACATTTCAGAAAATACAGCAGTAAGATGAACACTTAAGTGTTCAARCCAGCAAGATACAAGCTCTACAGAGCATTTCCAACACAATCACTCTCAGCCAGGAGTTATCTGACAGACATAGATCTAAAGGGCTGAGCAATACCTGCATATGATCTGTAGCYTCTGTTTCCTCACTGCTCTGGTGTCCTCTGCCTTTCACCAGCCTTTAGAAGTTCTAGGTCCATTTCCTTGGACTCCGTACAGTAGCAAAGGCTTTGTCTCCTCTGCACGTTGACAAGAAAACTACTGTGAGCACCTTCAGCCTTTTGTAGAAATGACAGTCATCTGTTAATCTGCTCAGATTCAAATCTATTTAAAGTTATCAAAGTCTCTCCTTAGATCATCCATGGCCAGATTAACAGCCTAGCATGGAGCGCAAATGTTCCCATATTTTTAACTGATCTTTTGTTGCACTAAGCTTGCCTCTCTGCATTTGTTAGGTGTAAGATTTTCCCTCAGTGCATTTAGGGCAGTAGGAAGGCTACACAGTGAAGACTCTGGGCAAATTAACAATCAAGAGTCTTGCACAGARTAGTGTGAATACTTGCAGACATTGGGTTAATTAATCACAAGGATGCTCCTGTATTATGGTASTGCTTCCTACCAGCATAGGGCATAAAGCAAAACATATTATATTGTACTAGGATAAAAACATATAGTTTTGGAGATCCAAGGTTATGAACAGAAAGCAGCTAAGCAAAAGCTGCTATTGCAGCATTCCTGCACAGAGCTGCCTGATGCTCACTTACCTAGGGACAGGGGCTTTCAGCTGAGGTGGTTTCCAGGCTTCACACTGTTGAATCTGAGGTCTGCATATTGTAGTGGTGCACAAACAGAAAGACCTAACATTTTGCTTATTTGGGGAAGAGCTGTAGTAGACTATTTGATTCTTTAATCTGATAAGAAGGAATATGGCTTTGCAGCATGTGTGTGTGTGGTGTTGGGCTCTATAGCACTTGGTATCAGCAATGCCTAGGTTAGTTTGCTTCATTTGCTGAGATGGGGCATTCTCCTATGGGTTTGAATTACAGCAACTAAGAAAGGTTTTATGTCCTATATCTCTATTCTTAAATGTTTACATTTGTTTTTCAGATGGAGTTTTGGTCAAAATACCAAGGTACGTCGCTTAAGTCCTGCAAGTGTTCTGCTATCCCTCAGGCTCTATGGATGCATCCCAAAGAGAGAGGTCCCTATGCTATTAGAGGATCCACTCTCTAGGACAAAGCATTTATAATTGTCCCTTATAAACTGGTTCACACTGTGATGCCTGTTTAGTTTCCTTTCATATAATGGCTTTCTTTCTTCTTGTTCTGCTAGCTTGTCAGGGCATAAGGAAGTCCAGGGCAGATCTGGATGCTTGTCTAGAAGGTAAGTCATATTTCCCTCATGAGCTCCCAGATAGAAGGAGTACCAGAAACTTGCTCCCTGTAGAATTTAGAAGGCAGAAAAATCAACAGTTGGTGATGCCCTCAAATTAGAAAGAAAAATAGCTGGAGGGGAGTTTCCTTTCTTCCTCTTCACTTTCCCTCTTGAGCATGAGCATTTCACAAGCAGCCCAACTCCCTCACCGTAACAGCCTAGGATAGATACCCTTTCCCTTTAGCACCAAGTCCAGCTCCAGAAAAAACAGCCTGTCAGAACTGCTGCTGTCAGCACTGAGGTAGAGAGCTGCAGGCCAGGCTCCTCTAACGAGGTAGATATTAAGGTGTGTGCTCTTCCCATCCCATGAAAACATCCTTGCTTGTGCACATAGGCTGTAAAGAGGGTGACACCTCTGAGCTTGAAAAGTGTAACCTCCGTGTCCCTTGGCTCCAGCTTACCCTGTGTTGGGATTTTGACAGGTAACTGCTCCATTGGTCTGGGCCAGAACTATGTGGGGACAATTAGTCACACCAAATCAGGGATTGAATGTCAAATGTGGACAAGCAAATATCCACATATACCTAAGTAAGTTCTTCTCCCTCATTTCCCTGAAGGGTTCTCCAGACTGTCCTGCATTCCTTACCTAACCAGCCTTTTCCTATAGATATAACACCACCATTCACCCCAACCTCCTCGAGAACTACTGCAGAAATCCGGACAACAACACAGCAGGCCCGTGGTGCTACACCAAAGACCCAACAGTGCGACGGGAGGAATGTCCCATTCCAGTGTGTGGTAAGCTCAGCAAGCCCTTTCACACAAGGAACACCTCACACTGACAGTAAAAATGCATTAAGGAAGGAAGAGGCTAGGAGGAAGGAATCTTACAGGAACATAGGAAGTAAAGGACCTTAGGAGTAAAGGACCTGTATCCTAAAGGGTAAAGGGGAAGAAGAGAAGTCCTCATGGAGTTGCCCATTTCTCCACCTTGGCTGGCTCTTTCTGATAGGCTGTTTTCTTTGGACCAAGCTAAACTAAATCTATATCAAATTTGGTGTCCTCAGTCCCAGTGTGGTTTTGCCAACCTGAAACACTCTAAAATGTTAGCTCAGTTGTCTCTAAGTCAAGACACTGAAAGTAGCAAGTCATACAGTATTTTTTGTCAGAACTTCTGCTTCTAAGGACAAAACCACTTCAGTTTATGCATGTATATCTACCTTAAATGTTCACTCATAGGGAAGATCACTGTTTATTACGTGCCCTCAAGCAGAGCAGGTGCCCCTCTCTTAGCAGAACAGAAAACTATCCTCATGCACCTACTTGTGCCTCCCCTTTCCTTCTCCATAGCACAGAGCTGCCTCCTGTGGGGCTTGGCCTTCACCTCAGAAGAAATGATAGAAAGCAGAAAGCCTTCTGGCTGCAGCAGCTTTGCTTCCAAAAGCCTAGACAACAGCTGCTTCAAAAGGGTCAGCAACCACTTTAACTGAGGGGTGTTCTGAAGTAAAGTCTCTAACATGATCTCTGCCTCCCCAGTGGCAAATCAAGAGAGAAATACAGCTCTGCCCTGGCGTGATCAGCTATCTGAGACCACCTCCCTTCACTAGCTGCTTTCTGACCTATAGTAGAGTAACCAATACTTCCTAGTGCAAAACTACAGCTTAGGTCACAGCTTTCTACCTTTGCAGGTGAGGAGAGGACCACAGTTGAGTTCACTCCACGTGCCACACCTCCACCCTCAACCCAGCCATGYGAGCAAGAGAAAGGCCTCCTTTACACTGGAACCCTCTCAGTCACCATCTCTGGAGCTAAGTGCCTACCCTGGAACTCCGAGAAGGCCAAAGAGGTACTCCAAGGAAAGAACATCATCACAGAGGTGAAGCTGGTGGAAAATTATTGTAGGAATCCTGATGCAGATGATGAAGGTGTCTGGTGTGTCACAGATGAACCACCCARCTTTGAGTACTGTGACCTGCAATACTGCGGTGAGAAGCCTGCAGTGGTTTGGGTATGCACAACTGCAGGGCAGGGGCAAGCAAAAAAAATTTAAATCAATCAATCTGCTACTGTGAAGAAGGGCCTGGCTTGGAAGCRGAGGGCATAAGGTAGGAAGAGGGTGGGCCAGGCCTGTGGAAGTCTTTTTGTCCAACTATTATATATAACCTGCCATACATGCTTCTGGCTGTTGTTTTCCCCCATTGAGCTCTTATTTAAATAAGTAATAATAATTAATAATAATAATAAAGTAATGTCTAGCCAGTAAGTGATTTACTATATAATAAGCATTTTTTTAAAATGGCTTTGAAACAAAATTCCTTTTTCAGTCCCCTGGCTGTGAAAAGGGAGAGCTACACTGCTGAGAAGGAGGGAAAGTTGCAGTTTGACCTTTCACCATTTTTGTATTCCTGTCTCAGACAGCTCCTTGTGGAAAGAGGATGAACAAGTGGAGAGAATAGCAGGACGGACTGACCGCCCTCAAGAGTACAAAACCTTCTTTGATGAAAAAACATTTGGTTCAGGTGAAGCAGGTGAGCACCATCTCTGGGCACAGCACCCCAGTTYGTAGAAAAGTTGCAGCTTCTTTGCACGAGGCACTTGCTCTCCTTGAGAAACAGGGGCTTACCAGTGACACAGCAGGGAGGCAGCAGAAACTCCTTCCTAGGTTATTCCAGCTGAGCATGCTCCTCGCAGGCAGAACTTCTCCTCTAGGAATCAGGTACAGTAACAAAGCCAGACTGACTGTTTTTTCAGACTGTGGCATTCGTCCTCTATTTGAGAAGAAAAAGATAGTGGATGGCACTGAGAAGGAGCTGATGGAGTCCTACAGGGACAGCAGAGTTGTAAATGGGGAAGATGCAGAGGTTGGCAGCTCGCCCTGGTAAGCAATACATCCTTACAGCCCTTCCTGGGTATTGGAACTCCCTTCCACTCAAGCTGGGGAGAAATAAGAGGAGTGTGGAGTCAGCATCACTTCCACTCACAGCCTCTCTCTGAGGAAGACAAGGCAGCACTAAAATGCTGGAAGGAAAGTCCTCCTCTCCTCTTGAGCCAAGCGCACAGCTTGCAAGGAGAGAGGTGCTGGTGTGTTTTGACTTGATCTTTACCCTCTGTCTAGCCTTGCTGGAGGAAAGAGGGTGAGAAAGCTCTACAGGTGAAGGAAACATAGAAAATTGCTTAGTACAGTGAACATRCTTCCAGCTCTGAGGCTCAAAACCTAGGAAGTTTTTGCTGGAGAGCTACCTCTGAAGTTCTTGTTTCTATATAGCACAAAGTTCTTCCCTGCTCACTACGAGTTCCGCTTCAGTCTTTAGGCCTGGTAAGAYGGGCCACTAACTTGAGCAACCTACCCACAGTTCTGTAAAAGCCTGACRTCCCCATTGTAGACCAACATACCTGCAAGGCATCCATCCACCAAGATCAAAGATCACTGGTAAGTTTTCTTCCTTCCTTGTCTCTTAGGCAGGTGATGATCTACAAAAAGAGGCCTCAAGAGCTGCTGTGTGGTGCCAGCCTCATCAGTGACAGCTGGGTCTTGACTGCTGCTCATTGCCTTTTTTATCCACCCTGGGACAAGAACTTAACTACAAATGACATCTTGGTGCGGATTGGAAAGCACTATAGGGCAAAGTAAGAGCCTGGAAGAAGCGAGAGTGAATTAGCCTTCCTCTTGGGGTAATGAGATAAAATAAGGTTGGGATGTCATTCAGCATACATGGCAAGGATACATAGCTGCAGCATGCCTCAAAAGCAGGATCTAGTAGAGCTCTGGTTGATGCTTGAGACTGAAATGAAAGGGAGGGCAGAGACATGGAAGGTCTAAAGGGGAACTCCTTGATTGCTGAGAGTATTTTTTCAGACAGTACAAAGCACCTGAGAGCCTTTTCTGCCCCCACGGCTCTCACTTGCTATTGTAGTCAGTTCTTTCCTAAAAATTTCAGATATGAAAATCACAAAGAGAAAATTGTTCTATTGGATAAAATCATCATTCATCCCAAGTACAACTGGAAAGAGAACATGGACCGAGACATTGCACTCATGCACCTGAAGAGACCTGTCATCCTCAGTGACTACATCCATCCTGTCTGCTTGCCCACCAAAGAGCTGGTGCAGAGGTAAGGAGGTGGCATCRCATTCCCCAAATGACAGGCTACAAAAGCCTACTTGGAACATGGGAACCAGACGGGAGAACGTTACTGCAGTAACCATGCCTCCTTCCACAGGCTGATGCTGGCAGGTTACAAAGGGCGAGTAACTGGTTGGGGAAACCTGAAAGAAACATGGGCCACCAGCCCAAGCAACCTGCCCACAGTTTTGCAACAACTCAACATCCCCATTGTAAACCATGCTATTTGCAAGGCATCCACCAAGGTCAAAGTCACAGACAACATGTTTTGTGCAGGTAAGTGGCACTCGAGGCACAAGGCCAATGGCCACATGGTCAACGTAAGGGGGTTGAGTTCTTGATGAGGCTCACGTAGCCAGGCTACTGTCTAAGAAGCTTAACATTGTCCTCCTAAAGAACAACTTTCCCATGATAAAACTCAACTTTTCACTTTACAGACACCAGAAAGGCTGGAAAACAAACAAACAAACAGACTACAAATAAAGTTTGTAATACAACATTATAACAGTTTAACCAGCCTTGTAGGACCACACTGCTAGATACATGCCAGCAATAGCTGTTTAAGAACTGAACACATGTAAACTGGTGTTTTCAGCACYATATGAAGTAGTTTGGTACTTACTTAAAGGCCACAGAGTCCACTTCTTGTGCTCAGAAACCCATTCTCTAACTTGTCTCAGGTCCTCAGAACCTATTCATAATTATGCCCACAGCTTCTGGGGCCACATGCTACACAGATAAATTATGGCTTTTATGAARAGGTAATTCCTCATGTACTACCAAATTTTCTGTGTAACAAAACTAGAGGTTTACATCTGTACTCATCTCTTCAGAAACAGTGATTTCTTTTCTCCATATCATATACTATTTCTCTTACTGCTTGCTATCATTTCACTTCCAACTAAAGAAACACTTTAATCTCTCCTAACCTACAAGACACTTCCACATCTCCACTTCTCCTTTGTTGCACCTTCCTCAGTCTCTTTACTACTACATCCTTCTTGAAAGGAGACAGAAATGAAAACAGAATTCAAGATAAAAACAAATCCTGAATTTACGTTCTGGTGTAATTACTTTCTGCAGTATTCTTTATTCCCACAGCCTTAATAAAGTCCCTGCAAGCAAGTCTTTAAAGAAAGCATCTAAACATAAGCAGTTGCCAGAGTTAAAATAGAAATCATTTTCATAGCAGAGCATGTTGACAGTACAGTGTTTTTATAGGTTTTTTTTTTTTTTTTTTAATAAAGACTTATTTTGGAAAAATAGCAGAAAAAAAAAAAAAAGAACTCAGGGAAGAACCAAGCTTTTTTTTTTTTTTTTTTTTAAAGATATTAGTTCAAGTGAAATGCCCTGTTATCGTGAAAACAGAGTCAGCTAAAAGAGGGCAACAGTAGCGCTCACAGAAAGAAAGGAAAAAATGGAGGAGGACAATCTGTTGCAACAGTAAACAAAGACAACATGTAGAATCCTAAACCCAGAAAATGTGGTAAACCAAGAAAAGAGTAAGTCAAGCTACTGCTGCAAACAAAATGCCATCTGACACTGTGAATCCTGATGAAAAAAGAAAACAGGAATGAGGGCACTGTAGGTAGTGAAGGAATGGTAGAATCAGCAATGTACAAAGATAGAAACAGAATTAGCTGCTTTACATATAATTTTAAAAAGTTTCCTRAAAGTAACATTAAGAAAAATGGATGGCTATTAGAAGCGACCAGTTATTCCTCCCCTACAATCAAATGCCTGACTTTCTTCTTCTGGCCTGTAGGGTATAGCCGTGAAGACTCAAAGAGGGGAGATGCCTGTGAAGGAGACAGTGGAGGACCATTTGTAATGAAGGTACGTTCAAGAAGTACAAGGTCATAAAACAAATGGAGCCAGGGTGGTGTTGAGCTGCACCTCTGTAATGGGTTAAGGAACAGCCGACTGCTGAGTGACAAGGGGGGAAAAAAATAGCAGTTTGGGCCAAGCAGCCAGGAAGATGCATCTTGCCATCATCCAGCTACTGAGCCTGCAGATTCTGCAGCTGGTTCCTGAATATGSTAAGAGTGATAGCTGCTTCCAACCTGGATGTTTAAGAAAGGAAATCATGCAAGCGAGCTTGGCTACTGTCTCATAAATGGTTACCTGTTAGTCTGAATTCCAAACCCGTTTCCATCACTAAGCAGAGTGGGGTGCTTACAAAGTTCAGATCCAAAAGACTTGGCTCCTTGTGCCAACCCTGCTTTTCTGTTTTAGAGCCCAGATGACAATCGCTGGTATCAAGTAGGAATAGTTTCATGGGGAGAAGGCTGTGACCGAGATGACAAATATGGATTTTATACCCACGTATTCCGCCTGAAAAAGTGGATACGGAAAGCCATCGAAAGACACGCGTGACAGGGAAGCGCTTCCCTTGCTTGCTCCCAGTTTTGCTACAGTGCTCTGCTTCTCAGTCATATGCACAGAAGATCTAAAGTAAAAGAGTTATAGGAATTTAACTTGACAAAGGAAAGTATTCTCTCTCAAAAATAAAATCCTCAACAAAATCCTCTTTCTCCTGTGTTAATACTGAGTTTAGTTAAACTTGAATCTATGGCAAAGCAGTTAGGAGATAACAGAAAGGTACTAGCTGTATTACTAAGCACTTGCTGCGCTTGGAACATGTTCTTCTCCTTTCCATCAGTTATAAGCATCAACAGCTTTTAAACGTTTAACTATGAYCTTAGACGAAGCACTAAACAAGACTGGTGCCCAGGGCACCCTCCCTCTGCCTATTCACCTTCTGGTTTAGACACTGACCTGAGAGTGTCCTGGCCCTAATCACCTTAATGTCATAACTGCTCTATTCCGAATGTTACTGCATACCTACAGCACAGCAGCTCCAACGCGCTTTGGTAAGCGACCTATTTTTCTCAGCCATGGTTGCAGACAACAAATGTCAGCATCACTGCAACATTASTGCCTTAAACAAGTACCAGATGTTTGCAATTCATTCTACAGAGATATACAGGCTGGAACAGATTAAGCAGCACTTCCATTACTGCATGGCAACAGCTTTGCAGAAGGCAGCTTTTCTAGTGCTTAAGTGCTCAGCCTTCACCCCTCTAGAGCTATCCAAATAYCTATGAAAAACTGCACACCTGAAGAGGGGAATCAAGAACATGGAGCTTCTGAAGTAATTCACTCTCAGCACTGACTCGTTGCAAAAAAATACAGAGGAATCATTTTTTGAAATTCAGTTTAATGTTATTTAAATACTTTCCGGGCTAAAGATAAGGCTTTATTAATTTATGTGCACAAGTTTTAGCTTAGCACTCCCAGGATAGAGTCCAATCAAACACTACAGAGATACAGGGCAAAAACTCTTCCATAATGAACAGCTTTGTCTTTTGCTCTTCAGTTACTCCTGTGCTCCATTTCCAACGGAGTTTTAAACTTAAACCAGCTACATGCAAGTTTGTAGGCAATGCTATTTTATCATCCTGAGCTAAGTATAGAATAGCTAACAAAAAGACCATCTCTTCAGAATATGTTAGACACGGTACAGTAAAGGAACATAAGGTTTTACTTAGATGGCAGCAAGTTTCAAAAACAAGTTGGTAATTGAGAGGTAGCAGCATTATCTCCAACACCAGCCAACACAAGCATCCCCACTTCACATGCCCAATAGCTCAGCACTTGCTGTCCAAAACCTCTCCTTGTCATACATCCCTGTTCCACAAAAAAGGGCCTCATCATCTCAGCTTAGAGTGAAAGACTGCTACTGCCAAACCACAGTGGTGGGGCAATGAATTGCAACACGTCAGACAACACAAGCTGCAGAACACTTGCAGGTCACCTGCTATCACAGCGCACACACCCACCGCAGGCACCGAGCAGTATCACACATCAACCGCAACTCCGGCCTGTAAAACCAGAAAAGATCCTGTAAAAAGAGGAAAAAAATCAGCCATTTGCAGAAGCTCTAGTACAGATTCGTTGTACAAAGGTACCATTTTAAAGCAATGTTTTACTCTAAAGACTGATTTAGTAACAGCCCTAACACAGAAGCTGCTTGCCCACAGAACGAACAACAAAAGCAGCAGTTACAAGAAATAAAGATTAAAATCTAGAGCAGAAGTTCGCTATTTTGAGCCTGCCTGTCCAAGTCTTCAGTACTCCTGGTCCGGCAATGAAACAGTGGAATTCAGCTCCCACAGAAGTCAAGTAGCTAAATGAAAATGTCATCTCCCCAAAAATAAAAGGCCAGAAGGTTATAAGCCTTACACTTTCACACTTGTTGCTTCTGAAAACAGCTGAACAGAAGATACTCTTACCAAAAACTATGGTTGTCACAGGCTACTACTACCAGGTGTTTTCTAGTTTCATTAAGAGGACAGTTCGCCAATGTTGAATGTTTAAGTGCAATCGAATGAGGTTTGGTCTATTTACACTTTAAAACTGCATGAAGGCTGCTTAAGCAGATTAGTTCAGGATAAATGAGTCCACTGATAGGACACCACTACTAATCTATTCCATATCAATGCTGCTATTCCCTCAAAGAGAATGCATTTATATAGATTAGTTGGGGCTATGCATAATCCRAGTGAACACATTAAAAGGACTAGGTAAATTTAAAAGAACATTTCAGCAAACTAAATATTTTTAACATACAACTTATAAAACAAAAACCAAAAGTGTAACTGTATGGAAAATGCACTACCGCTCATTGAAATAAAAGTGCAAGGTCTTGGAACTGCATTMCCCAGACAGATAACAGTGAAGATGAGTGAATACACTAAACCCGGGGTTCTAATTAGGAATCGCTTAATTCAGTTCCTAGATACCCAGTTACAATGTCCAGGAGTACAGAGTAGCTTCTATTCTTACCGACAGTCACTGCTGTTCCTACAGAGACTGGTATAGTTAATGCAAACTTTATTTACAAAAGACACTTAAATTAGTTACTTCATGCCATGTGTCCATACAGAATCAACAGTTCAAGGATTACATGGAGAAGAATTCACAAAATTAAAAGTGAAATCACTAAAGATCTAAGAGTTAAGAACTAGGAAAAGATCTTAAAGACAGTTTTACAAATAAAAAAACAAGTTATGAGAAACTAGTCTGAGCAAGAGGATGCTTGTTTACAGGTCTGTACACTAAAACTAATACACAGACAGCCTTCTATTGTCAAGAGATGCTCACTGAGAAGCAGAGTATGTACAAATACTTGTGCCACAATGACTCAATCCCCCAAAATCCACCGTATTATACATAAACCAGTTTGTATACACTAGGCCTAAACGAGGCCGCTTAACTATGAAGACTTCTAGTTTAGTAAACTAAAGCTGAAGACAGCCCAAGCAACAGCGATGCTGTCTCTCTCACAGCTTTATTTGCGACTGCTTTTTATTCTCTCCAGTCTCTTTTTCAAGTCATCAATGTTAGCTGCTGTAGAAGAGGGAGAAGCCGTGGTAGTTCCAATGCCAGAGGAATGAGTCTGATTGGAGTCCAGGTCCAGGTGTTGGTACTGCTCCCGTGACTCACGCAGCTGGGAGAGCTTACTGTGAAGCATATCTGTAGAGGAGGCAACTGTAGGGACTGCTGGCTTAGAGAGCAAAGACGTCAGGGGCGGCCTGTCTTCCTGCTACCGTGGGAGAGAGAAAAGTGTCAAGACAGGCGCTGGCAAAAGCCACAGAAAAGCACACATGAGAATCAGTGGCTTGAAAAAACACTAACATAGAAGAAAGGGAAGGGACAAGACACCACTGGTAGGCTACACCAATGAAGTCTGTTATTGTAATGTTAGACTCATGCAAAGCTAACTGCAGTAACCAGCTCCTAGAATTCCTAACTTAGTGTCAGCAGTGCGACCACCTGTATCTTAGCAGAAATCACACTCTATGCATAACTTCTTCTTAATGAACTTTTCAGCCACAGAAGTCTAGTCACAAAATTTTGTTACTGGTCACAGTTTTCCTCTGTTCTTAACTCCCAGTAGAAAGCACATTTTCCTCATTTGGATTGAGGAAACACCCTGTTTCACTGGAAACAAGCTACACAATTGGGTATACCAGCACTATGTGCATCAACTTCTATTTATAAAAATTGCAAATATATGAATGCAGGCCTTGCTCTGAGAATAAGCAGCTACAACAATGATGAAAAATTCACACTAAGTGTGCATTGAAATGGGCTGGTACAATCTTGCACAGCCCACACGCTGAAAGAGGAGAAATGTCTGTTCCTAGGTGCAAGATCTCCATTCAGTGGCTTTCTGGAGTGAATGGAAAATTTGGATTGACCGGAAAKATCCATCCCTGCTGAAAAGGTCAGGTCACTGCTCTTATATCAATGTGAGAATTTTGCCTGGTTAAATCACTTTGTTACCAGCATCCAGAAAACATATTTTTCCCTCTTCCCAGAGCTGCAAGCTTATGTACAATTTTATATTAAAAGGTAAAAACAGTGACGTGCTTTGAGTCCTATGATTATTCCTGGAGCAAGTGGTATTTCTCCTGTGACTAAGGATCCAAACTCCTCCATAAATGGCTCTCAGCACACATATACACAAAACATGGCATTTAAAACCCTCATTCAGCTCTTTGAGATGTTTCAGAATGGAAGGATCTAGAATATCCACATAATTTGCCTCAATGAGATATCAATATTAGTTAGCCTTTCAAGAACAGTAAAGTTGTGCAGATCTTGGAAAAGTTTAATCACCTGCCAAGGAAAGACACTAAACCGCAGAGCTCAAGAACAAGTTGCATCTACATCATGCAGCAAGTGAATCAAAACATAAGTTTGCCTGGCCATGTAACAAATGTAAAGCCATTTACAGCAGAAACTGTGACAAGTTGCAAGTAGTTAGAACATATAATATAACGAAGGATGATCAATTCTGATTACAATCCATTTCTGGCAAATAAGATTTATCTGAATTCAGATTTTTAAAAGCTGCAAGTGCTGTCAAGTACAATACCTTTGCATTGTCAAGGCCACAACGCTGCCTGAGGATTTTTAACCTTTCCAAATAGACTGAAGGCCCCACTTCCTCCCCATTTGTGTTTCCTATAGATGAAGATATAGTGTTGGTAGAAGCAGGGACACACGTTCCTTCCATCTGAGGAGAAATTCCTAGGAGAGGGAAGGAGGAATAAAAACAAAAAAAAATGAATAAGGTCAAGAAGTCCAAGACTCTTGATCAGATCACTTGAAACATGAAATGGATGAAGACTCAATCAGCCTATAAACAGCCAACAGTTATTGGTATTTGCTAGCACAGACATATTAGTCTTCTCAGGTCCAYGATCATTTCTTTTAAAAGCGACAACTGAAAGAAATTATAAAGAAATGTCAGCAGCAGAATGTCTCCAAAAGAAGCACTGAGGCTGGCAGGTGCAAAAAAAAATGGGAAGATGCTGATACCAGTGAGAGGCAACCATGAAATTCAATAGAGAGAACTTGGAGAGTTACATTTGCAGAAGAAAATAAAATCTGAGTTTAGTGCATTCAGTAGTACTCTGGGTAGACTACACAATGTCTTCTAACTTTCTTGTTCAGGTAATTGAAAGCTGTTGCTGCTTCTAATTCTATCTAGAAAACAGTCTTGTTTAAAAGGCATAGAGYGAGATGTCTGAAGATTCTCCATCAAAAGACTAGAAAATAAATTTATGCTATAAAAAAGGCTTTTTATCCTGAAACAAATGGCAAGATCTAAGACTCAACGAGGAAGGGGATTTGTTTTCACTAGTTCACTGTGAGGACCTTTCAAAACAAAAAGTTAAGCTTTAATACTTTGATCTAAATGAAGCACAGTTTGCAAGGTGAAGCAAGATCCTTTGCTATAGCAAACTAATATAGGGGCTGGGATGGGGAGAGACAAGACTGGGGCACATGATTTCAGGTTGGAAGTCAATATGGTTGAACTAAAATCTCTTGGTTGTACAGAGCTTTATGACAAGATAGGATATTGCCCTACATGGTCAGAAGCATTTAGGAGGTCATGAAAGAACCTCCTTACATCTTCCCAAAGTAATTTACAATATAGTAACAGAAGAAGGAAAAAAAGACTATAAAGATTCCTGGGAAACAGTTACATACCTGAATAAACAAATGCTAAAGGTAGTTCTGTCAGACTACATRTCAGCTTTTACTGTTAGCTCCTTGTTACTGTTAACTGTTGATCGGTTGGAAAAAGATCAGACTGCTAGGGAACAGTGTGGGCTATTAAATAAGCTTTCAGATTCCATATTCCAAACAATACTTTATCAGAAGAGGGCTGCACCATTTCAGCAGCCACAAGGTAAAAGGAGAACCTGACAGCTGTTGCTGATACAAGCCAGCCGCACACTTCACAGAAACAATCCTTGAGATCAGAGATATGCAACTTAGCCTTCAMCTTATCCCAAGCTACAGATACAAATTGGAACCACTTCCAAGTGTATTCCACACTTTATAAGAGTTCTAACATTCTCCTTGCAAACAAAGGACACAGTTTCTGCAAAGGGTAGCAAGTGTTGCCTCAGGAAACAATACAAGCCCAAGAACATAGGCAAATTCATTTGGAAGCTCCTAACTGCCTCCAAATACTAGTTTCTCATGGGGCATGTGCCACTTCTCCCCTCACGTTTGCTTCCCCTAATCCACCCRTGTTGCTGCAGCACATACCTGTAGAAGAAGGAATGCGCCCTTTCCCCTCACGTTCCGTCTCTATCAGCCGGAGGCCCCTTTCCACATAGCTCTGGAAGAACTGAGATGAGTTTTTCAGGAAAGGCTCAATATCTGCATCAGAATATTTCTTCTTGTATTCATACAGTTCTGCCAAGCCCTGTGGGGAAAGAGGTCCTTTGCATTATCACCACCACTGCATACACCATTCTAATGCATCGTGTTCTGCTCCTTGCAGAAAGGAAGCACTTACCTCTTTAGTGTTTTCTTTGGAGCCAATCTTCTTAAATATCTCTGCCAAAATATCATTAACTTTGGCCTTTGAAGACTTTTCCTCCTAAATGAAGAAAGACTTTCTCAAAAAAGAGTAATATAAATCTCCACTAAAAATGAGAAAGTTAGACAGACTTGTTAATAAACACACAAGCCTGTTAGCTAGGCACAGAGCCTCAAGAACAAAGTAAATTTTTAAGGGAGCTGAAGTTTTATATAGTCAATGGTTACATGGAATAAGATTCAGGATGCGAACAAGCTGTAGGTCTTCTTGGGGAGAACTTAAATCCTGTTTTGGTTACAGTTGATTTTTAGTATATCAAAACACAGTAACTGCCAGGATAAAACCTATGCTGCACAGCTGAATATATTATGGAGCATCTCCTGGGATTGGCACAGAACATTCAGGTAAGCACAGAAACACACTGCAAGTTCCCCAAATAGCTATAAAGAATTTCAAAATTGAAACTAGAAAAGCATTTTCACACAGAGAAGCATGTGCTACTACATTTTCAACAATTTCTAAATAAGGTTGATTTCTTGAATAAATTGCCTTAACATCCTTTCTTTCTACCAACATATTTGTACCACTTACTATGCGGGAAGCCCCTTTCTCTGTTTCCTTATCAGCCTTGCTTCCAGTTTGGTCCATGGAGTGTTTCATTACTCTACACAGGTGAGCCTCCAACTCAGATTCATTTTTGTTGTCTATCATGGTTAAGTGATCTAAGATCTAAAACAAAGAGGCAAAGCTTTAGAAACCATATGAACATCCAGCTCAAAAATACATAACTAGAGACTGCTCTGACCTTGGGCCCTTTCAGCTTGCACAGTGTGTGAAGCAGCGTTTTCAGTGTCCTTATAGGAAACTCACTCTTACATTGTTTCAGCTTCTCTTTGGGAAAGACCTTCATGAAAATGTGGATATCCAGCAGAATCCGATCCAGGTTGATGCTGTTAATGGTCTCCGGGAGAAGCCGCACCATTCTCCACAGACACTGAAAAGAGAGTTTGACTTAAAACAAGGTAACTTGGGAAAGAAGCATTTCAGATCCTGACTATGCATCAGAGGCAGATTACACATCTTTGAGATGCGTTACTCTGCTAAAACAGAGTGCCATAAAGAGTTAGTATGTACCATTGCAAACGTTATAACTATATTCCATATAAAATACATAGCTATGGCGCATCCCAGATCTCTCTTTGGAGCAGATACATAAAAATATCTTGATAGCTCAGTTCACTCTCAATGACAGCACATTGAGCGCTTTKTCAACACTTCTCCACACAACACAAACTGTAGGCATCTCCACACAGCACCGACCACCAGGTTCCACCTCATTAAGAATATCTGACTYGTCCCTAAAACAAGTCAGTTAAAGGTGGTATATGATAATAGAAAAAGAAAGTTACAGCAWCCAGGCTGTTGCTTGAGACAAACCAGATACTTCAGAGTTCAAAACCCTACTACAGGCTCACCTTCATGACAAGTTCTGAGAACTTAGGTGAGCTGGCCGTTGCTAGCAGGCTGTCTTGAAGCAGAACAAGCAGAGCACTAGAAGGAATAAATTTATAATAGAATTACACAGGGGAGCACTACGCAGAATAAAGATGCCAACTCTCCACAGAATACCACACCACAGAGCAGGGTTAGTCAAGCAGTTTAATGTCATGCTGTGCAATAGCTCTTTATCTCTACTACTTCACACCAGAGTTTATAAAGCAAAGCACTGAACCACAATACATACAAAATAACATGAGACTGGCCAGCTTAGCCCATCTCCAGCTGCTTAGATTGCTTGATCAAGTTCTGGTCATAATTAATAATCAATCATCATTTTTCATTCACAACCTCAACTATTCTACATACAAAACAATGCATGAACAAAAAACAGCCAACAAAGAAAGGATTTTAAATGCAAGATCAAGTGAAGAGAAGCAGCTAGATGTCATTTTCTCTACATACCTCAAGATGTTGGTCTGGTCAGACTTTTCCAGAACTTTCACTACTAAGAGATTGACTGATCGGATGACCTGTTCACCCTCCTCGAGATCTTCAACCCGAGAATCCAGCATTAATGTAATGAGACCATGCATTAGGTCCTTCAGCACACCAGTGGAGGCCTCTCGAGCAAGGCTCTCTATCTGAAAGAGCTACCAGTTGAAGTCAACGTTAGAAAGTTTTGCTGCAAACATTTCAACGGAGTTCTCTAGACACATAGCCACGTTTTTGGGCATCTCAAAAAAAAAAAAAAAACACACCCAAACACACCCAAACACACACACAAAATAACCTTTCCCCCAACCAAAATATCCCCCCCCCCACCAACACGTAAACAAAACAGAGCTCATGATCACAACCACCTCCAACACATTAAACTTTAAAAGCACAGTTGAAAGTAGGTTATCTTTACATAAGGTGTCTTGATAGATAGTTAGGTCGCTGGTTCAGCAGAGATTAGGAATATCAAAATAGCACTTAATAAAAAATATGCTAGAGTGGCTGTGTTTTGGAGAAGCAGCAGACAGATCTTCCTACTTCCAAATCCCACTCCCTCCCAAAAGGTGCACTGATGGGCAGATAAGCTAGTAACCAACCTTCAAATAAAGCTCAGTAGCAGGCTAATCTAGACACAGGCCACAGCTGGAAGAGCCCTTTGTTCTCCTGTTATTCTCCACTAAGTTTATTTTCTTTTCACCTTAATTCAAAAGTCTTACCGAAATCATGCTCCCAATTATACAGCTGTAAAGTTTAACTATCTCATCTTTGTCCAGCTTCTCATCTGCCATGTGCGTATTGTAGATTAGCCGAAGCTGCATAAAYGTGGCTATTAGAAACTGGTCAATGTGGCCAGACATAGCTTCTGCTTTGTCTTCTTGTCTAAGAACCTCATCAATCTAAGAGGAAAAAAAACGGAGTGGGTAGAAAAAGAGTAGAAAAGAAATGCAATAAGGGCAAGTGAATTGGTAATGGCAAGAGTTGACAAGGCAATAGTTTAAGACCCAGAAATCAGCAATTACCAACTCCTGTGGCTAATCCACATCCAATATAACCCTGGATGTGACCGTGTGCCACATGCTCTAGGTGTCCCTTCTTGAGCAGGGGGRTGGGACCAGATCTCTGGAGATCCCTTCCAACCTCAACCATTCTGTGATGCTGTGATGAGTGATCTTTCCTATGCTGTACACACCTGAGAACAGGAAGTGCTTCATTATGAAYTCTAGAATTAACTGCTTGGTGTGAACTTCTGGACAAACTTTTTTAAGTAGCGAGAACCAGCTCAGAAGGAGGGGAAAAAAGGCAAGACAAAGTTCCATTGTTGATGCTCTGTAAAAGCTCTCATATAAACGCTATGCCTCGTTAGCAACAGTCAGTTTCAGATTAGTAGCATAGGACAAAAGCAAAGAGATATGCATATATTTACTTGCTTACTGCTTCTATATTAAGAGTCTACGCTGCATTATCTAAGTCGAATTTCTATTGTTAAAGCGAGTCAGATGGCCCCTGTGCACTTAATTTTGTCATCAGGGAGATTCTGAGCAGAGCCCACATCACCCGACATGGATGCTCCACCAGAGTGCAACTCATCACCCTCGCAGACACAGCTTAAGTACCGTGTGAACAGTTGCTACCTTTTAATTCTCTTACCTGTGCCAGAGCCTGGATGCTTGTATTTATATCACCACTGGCTACTTGGGAGATGACAAAGTTGATAGTAGAAGCTGTATTACTGTGCATGTCATCGAAGTGCGGGGATACAGCACGGATCCTAAACAGTCGAAAAAAATGGAATTTGTGACTCTCTGGAGAGACAGTTCTAAGCTCAGTTCTCTGCTGTTTTCCTGGAGCTGCTTATATATAGTTAAGAGAAAAGGATTTCCTCCTCATAGCAGATGCTCAAGGAAGGAATTGTTCCTRCTAGTGCGTCTATTCTACTACCTCTATAAAGGCACTAATGATGTACTTACAAACTCAATAYCCTCTTACTTCAAAAATGCATAAGCAGAAATATGTTTTTCTTCCCCATTAGAAATAACTCCTATCCAGACTTCAGAATACTGCCAAATTGCTTCTTTCACACTCCTTTTCCAACTAACTGAAGCTTTACACCTTATTAAGTAAAGAAGTCTGAATACAGAAACTAGCATTGCCAATTCAATTTCTCAAAAGGGTTGTAAATCGGCCCTAATGGATTCGCTTAGGTGGGTGAAACTAGACTCACTTGGGCTCAGGAATCAGGACTGGCTCAAAGATGTCATCTAGCTTGTGCTGCACAAGTGCTGGCATCTCACATCTGACAGTACCATTGTCATTTTCAATTTCATCAAGATCCAGCTGAAATTCCCGGGGAACCGAATGCGCCGTCTCAGAGTGACCACCCATGTTGCGATTTTGGCTACAGAAACCAGGAAAGAGGCATTTAGTATAGATGGAAGACATGAAAGTACCAGCATTAGCATCCACTGGTAGCCCTAAAGCTCTAACAGCAGCATAGTGCAGGCTTGGCAGACCTGAGTTTATCCAGGCCCCTTAACAACAACCCCCTTTACCACTCCCCTCACTGTTAGTACAAGAAGTGTTTCTAGGCTAGCAGAAGAGCAGCTGCTAGCTACCTGCTCCCCCTCTTCTCCCCAAATCCACCATGAGACCCACTGCAGCTGACAGAAGTATGCACAGATCGGTTAGAGGAGATACCCAGCATAGTTTAAAGTAGCATTAACAGAATATTTTTTTTTCAGTTCATGTGCGGTTCTTTTTGTTATTTGCTTGTTTGCCTTTTGATAATATAAATGCATAACAATGCAGTTATGCACAGTAACCTAACAAGCTAATCTGAATCTAAGACTCTCAATAACCCACATTATTTGCAAGACAAAGTGGTGCATTTTTTTTAATGAAAATCCACTTTCAAAAGGGACTTTTCCTCCAAGATAATGAGGAGGCAAGAAGTTTTGTTGCTAGCACTGTTGCCCCAAGGCTGATTCATACATACTTATCTGTTCTTTGCTGTATGTTTACTGTAAAAGGTTAAAATCAGGGTGCAATCAATATCAAGTTTAATGCACCATACAGCATATAATATACATTTTCCCAGTATTACCAGCAGCTGCTTAACATGGAAGTGCCATGTATGCCCTGCAGTCTGATTTCTAGTTGCCTTGGCAGAGGTCCTCTATTCTTGGTTTCTTTTGTCTGCAAATAACCTAGAACTGGCCACAGTAAACTTGTCACCCTCAAGAAGGGATGACTAGAGTGGAAACTGAAAGATACAAGAGCCTTTCTACCAAGGAGTTAGTGGGCAGTACTTACATCCTATAAGTGCGATACATAATTCTGTCCATGGAGAAGCAGTGAAAAAAGGCACAAGACCATTTAGAAAGATATCAAGACAGACAAGACAAAAGAAAAAAAAAAGTTTCAAACGTTTTGTTTTGCATTATTTGGCCTGTTTTCACAACATGCACAGATGATGGTATAAGAACAAAAACAACACTGCCAGAATGATATTAGCACACACACTATGTAGGCAAGAAACCATTTCACTTTTCATGACGTACTTGAGTTTGGAGGACATGTCCTCAGCTGGTCCCTTCCGCAGCATGCTAGCATTGGCGCTGATGTTTTGAGTGCGCTGCGGTTTCTCCTCTGCCTGCCTCACTGCAGCAGCAGCTGGTCTCTTGGCTGACCGCTTTATTCTCTCCTCCAGCATGCTCATGTCTTTCTCCGAGAGCTACAACACACGTGTCGTTTTTCACTTTTGCTTTTTATGTGGTATTGCTAAAAGCAATCACTAGAGACTGGAAAAGTAGCAGTGCAGAGCCACAGGGTGTTGATAGAGACCTTAAGCCTCTGAGTGGAATAAACTGAAGCAAAAAATGCTTGGCACACTTCAACTGTTAATACTCTCTCCCCACACACACCTTGATGGTGGGTCCTGATGGCCTTTTTCAGCCAACTATTTTATTCAATACCAGTGTTATACAACAATTTACTCCCAAAAGCAATTTAWTTCCTAAAACAGATG